CCGATCGGAAATGTACACTGTCAGAAGAACGCTCAGCGATCGTGCTAAGGAACTCACTCGTTTCCTAGGTGCCTTGGGAATCACTCTCTCTCTCTCTCTCTCTCTCTCTCTCTCTCTCTCTCTCTCTCTCGAGGCCAACCAGCAGCCATACAACAGCGCATGATGCAGGCGGAATAGCATTACCAACAACGACAAGGAAGACCGGAATGGCTATTTCTGGCTTATTAACCGTTGTCAGCCCTTCATACCCAAATCCCGAAACGTGGAACACTTGGAGCTCGATCCCGTAACCTGTTAGTTCGAAGTCGGCCGTCTCTAACCACTGATTCATGGGCTCGTTTCCCTGTCGGTTGTGATCGGGTATATGAAATGGTAGAGGATTGCTCCATTGTCTTTATCGATGATGTCACTCTGCCTATACTACGCGCCGTTATGCGACTGCTGGTAGGGTTCGACAGAGAGCCTGTAAGGCACAAGGGGACGAGGTCGTTCCGTGACGCGATCGGTAAACATCCTTCTACCATTGTATATACCCGACCACAACAGACGATACAATGAGCCCGTGGTTCAGGTATTAGGGACGTGGTACTTCTAACCAGCAGGTCGCCTGATCGAACCCCGGGCGTTGCAGACCTCGGGATTGGGTACGGTTTTCTGATGACGGTCGTTCCAGACTCCCATGTTTATGTTGATAACGTAATTATGCTTACATATATGTGCATATACGTATGTGTGTGCATAACATGTGCCTCCCAAACGGGACATTTGGTAGATGCGTTGGACCAACACGGGGACTATGTCAGATTCTCGCAGGCGTTAGCGGAATGAGCGCCGTAACAGATGCCGACATTTCGGGGGGGGGGGGGCAATGGTAGACCCAGTTGCCGGCTGACGTCGCACGCATTGGGATCCCCCCGGTTCCCCCTTTTTGGTGTTGGTTAAAATCCTGGTCATTTGCGGAGTGGAGAGTCGAGGTGCAGGCACGACCGTGCCGTCCACCTGCGACCTCCCCCCCGCCTACAGTCATCTAGACTCTGTCTCGAAACCGGGCTCAGGTGGGGAAGGAGAGGGTGCGGTAGATGCCGCGCAAGTCTACTGTCGTTATAAAGTAATTCACACGCAAGTCATCGCCCTTGTTTCATCTTGCTCTGAAGCGCACGATGGACATCGTTGGCAACGATGTTCGAGCTATTGTGTGCGACCTAAAACGAGCTGTTCCGAGTTGATTTCAGCAAGTTGTAGCGTATTATCATCTTCTTTGGTTGTAGTCATTTCCGCATAATCAATTTTTTCTATTTTAAAATATTCTCTAGAGCAGGCTGTGCTAAATAGGAAGCATACGCACGGGGCGGCAAAATTAATGCATCTCACCAACTGTCTCTATAGTCGTCAATCTTCCACGCATGCTTGGTTAGTCCAGTAATCCTAGCAAAGATGCGTATGGATTAAAATAGGCTCGTTTTGCAATTCAGAAGGTTTAATGAAAAAAACGCCCACGTGATCTGAGGGACGTAAATTTGACTATTTTCGGTAATTGATGTTTTTTTGTTTTGTTTTTTTCGTAAAAATTTGTTCTGCTCCAAAGTTTCCGTATGCGTCTCCAGTCTGGCAATGGTGACGCAAAAAAGAACGCACCATTTGCGAAATCCGAAGGAGCAAATGTGAGTTTACAGACTAGACCAATCACTAGGAGAGTGAAAAAGATATTCATTGTCGATCTGACTGCGCAGATTTCCATGCCCTCCAATTTGCCTACTTCTATGTTGACCATAAGTAGAGTTTACAGTTTACCTACTGATAATAAAAAGTATACTTTTAACATCCTGAGGAAAAATGTACAGTTTGGAGTATAAAGGGTAAAAAATGACAGTGTCAGATCATTTCCAGCAGTGTCATGAGAACTGAAGAGATGAAAGATCAGTTAGTTTGAGCGCTGGACGCTTAGGCTGGAGCCAACCTAGGTCTGCTTACTTGTATTTAGCCTCCGTGGAAGATAAAAACAGGATCCACTAGACACTGATAGGGTGGGACTAATCGGGTTCAGATTGCTGGTGGTCAAAGCTGTCTTCCTCGTCACCAAATTTCCACATAAACATGGGTGCTGCACCAGACTGAAAAGACACTCTGTATTCACTTATGGATTTGCCCTTCAACGCTGTCGGCAGTTGATTTGCATCATTAGCAATGGGAGGTGGAGGCGGTGGGTCGATGATGATGGCGTCCACATGGTTATCAGGGGTTGGTGCCAAAGCTTTGTCAGGGCGTTCAGGCAGAGGAACCGCCGGTTCCACCGGGGTCACCTGGGTGCCATCGGATGTTGCTGAGGGCACACTGGGGAGGGCTGTGGTCTCACCGAGGCGCACCTCGGACCTTTCTGCGGCATGCTCCTCTCCAGCAACGGAGACAACATAGGGGGGCGAGTGTTGACGTCTTCGACGTACACAAGGGCAGCCAGCGCAGATGAGTTCACCAAATTTGGATGCAGTCGTATCATCCGGAGCAGCATTTGCCGACTGGGTTGTAGGCCTAGCATTCTCCTCCATATCGCTAAAGGACGCCTCAGTCGGCGTCAAGAAATTCCTGTCGGCCTGTACGTCTTTCAAGTCTGTGCATGAGAAGCTACAGATGTCGTTCGCTAAATATTGAGGCGTTGTGTGCTTTCGGAGCTATAAGTGTGCGCGCAGAGGCACGAATCAATGGCTATCAGCTGATTGGTTCTTCAGACTAACGTGTGCACTTGACAGATTTCCTTTCAAGGTCACGATGGTGTGCATACGTAGCGTAGGGGCGGGTAATCCAAATAAACGGCAGAAATATGCCTTAGATTACATGTGAGGACCGATGTAAATGACTCGATTTTCGCATTTTTGGATAATAGAACATGCATGAATGAATGGGCGCAGTATATATTTAAGGACGTATTTTGCAGGACAACTTTTTTTCTACTTATGTGGATTTTGAGTTACTTAGTGGGCTTTCCAGTTTCTTAGAACATTCCGAAAAAACCGAAATATTTATTTCTGTTCCTTGCAATACAGACATTCGGCTAAGCATGTCAGGAGTCCAGCACACTACAGGAGTATATGTTTTCGTTCTCTTGAAGCCTATTGAAATAAGCAGAAGAGGAAACGGTTATGAACTCAAACTCGAAGGCATTTCGCACGTCGAAAAATAGAAATTGAGATTGACAGAAGTGGCTAACGAGTAATTGACAAAATTCCGCGAATGCAATACATAAATTTTCACGGATCTCGAGCCATTAGGAAGGTCCACAGAAGGCACTCTATCCGAGATAGGAGTGGTTTCAACACATTGCAACGGACGAACAGCTTTGTGTGGCAGCCCTCAGCCCGTCTTTTAGAGCGTTAGAGGAGGCAGCAATTCTGGTAGCAGCCTAAGCTGCCTCCGAAACCTCCCCCTAAACCATATTACTGCTCTCAGGGACAAAGTCAACGATCATACGACGAAAAAGACTGCGTTTAACAGTTGACTCTTTTTGCCTTTGGGCAAAGCAGGTTTCTCACATAGGTCATTAGAGGGTGGGGGAATCTACCTCGAAAGGGCTCCTAATACAAGTCCTTGTGAAGACGGGTCCCCCAACCCCCCC